GTCTAATTGTGCAAAAAGGGGCTGCTTAAATGCTGCGGTGATAAGCGGTTGTTGAGCAGCCTTCGTTTTCACTCCAGTCAGTGAAACACCGGAGTGATGTCGCTTCAAATGCGTGGCCATGCTTGACGTGCTTCCACTGTCATATGGCTTTCTTGTGCCACAGTGTCAACACACCGTCATGGTTTTATCTACCTCTTTCCTTCATCATTATAAAATAAAAATGCTCCCAAAAAGGGGATTTAAATGACGCAAGCTCCTCCGTGAGAACTAAACATGAGAATAACTTTTTTTTTTTAATAAATCAAACCACTGAATAAGTGTTTGCCGAACCGAAAATATTGATCTGAACGAATCACGGATCAATGAAGATTCGTTGCACCACTACTTACAATAGCAAATGGGCTGGAGTTATAATTAATTTGTTTCAAATAATATGCATTATTAATTGGGTTAATTAATTAGCTTAATTAAAAAACAAATGTCAATGTGACATTTATAATGTGCGAGTGAGAAATCAACAGAGAAGGAAAGTGGGGGCTGGGTATATAGATGACAGAATGGTAAAGTTGTCAGGGGAGAACAGCACACACAGGGCCACACACACAGGCACGGGCGAGTGGAGAGGAGTGCATGCTCTTCTTTGGGAACCATCCAGGCGGATGATGGGATTGTTGACAGTGAGCTGCATATCTTTAACCCTGTATTAACTCTGAACTGCAGAACTTGGCCTTTTATTATTCAAGCACTGTTTGGGCTTAAGTAGGCCACACATATACACCTATGCGCCCAGACTCACAAATCTCTCTCTCTCTCTCTCTCTCTCTCTCTCTCTCTCTCTCTCTCTCTCTCTCTCTCTCTCTCTCTCTCTCTCTCTCTCTCTCTCTCTCCCCCCCCCCCCTCTCTCTCTCTCTCTCTCTCTCTTCAATTCAGAAAGCTTTTTTGGCATGAAAAAAATAAATGTTGTATTGACAAAGCATCAAAACAACATTGAGATTTTGGGGTAATAGTGGTCTCTGATGTGTTTATATTTTGGGCATTCTGTGAGGAAGTACAGCTCGGTCACCGTCACTCCCAGGGTCCAGTGCGAGCAGAGTCTGTCCTCAAGTGAGGACCTGGACTGGAGTTCACTTACTGTGCTCAGTTAGTTCGCAATAGTGTACTCTCAATTTAGTGCCAAATAACATTCCAGGTAATGGTGTTTGTCCAATGGGTGATGTACTTGTTTTGTGGTGATAATTTGTGCGGGCCGAATGTGTGTGTGTGCTGAGGCAAGCTGATCTCTGCAGGAGAGAGCCCAGTCAGTCTCAGAACCAACTGGAAAAGGGACTCCTCGTTACGCTCAGCGCTTGGTGTTTTGGGGGTTTGTAATGGTATTTGTTGGGGTCGCTTGTTTTTAGGTGTTTCCAGAATTTGATGGCTCTTTTTTGGATGTTTAGAAGGAGAGGGTATTGGCCTTATTCTGCCCTGCATCCGTTATTTGGTGTTTTTATTTGGACTTTTGGTATGTCGTTGTGCTCTTAATGGTTTGGATAGATGGATAGATGGATAGACGGATAGACGGATAGATGGATATAATTTTTATAGAGAAGACAGAAACATGTAAACGGCAAATACTTTCCTTCACTGTTTTACTGTTGTTGTTTTCATGGCTCACACAAACGCACACACAGACACTCACGCTGAGCTCTCCACAGTCTCTCAGTCTTAATTGCCACACAATAGGGCTACAGACCGGACAGGATTACGTTAACAATAGGAGCCCCAGCCTGTGAGGATCACTCTCTGGCCACCGATTCAGAGAACAGCTCAGTGAAATAGAGCCCGCTAATCCACTAATGCAAACATACTGCAGGAATATAGAGCTGCTCACTGTCACAGTCTCTTTCCCAAACTCAGCATCTAAGTTCATACGTGCTCTCTTAATATTAAGCTTTAGAAGAACTCATGCTGTTTCGAATAAAATAGCACATCCTGTGTGAGTGGCCCCTAGCAGAGCAGGAGCGAAACTGGTTCTGTGAAACATTACTTCCTGCTCTGCTTTCATGAGACCTGAAGGTCTTCTTCTAGAAGGTCAAATTTGGCCAGAAGTATAGTTGCGAGCCAAAGACCTCCATTAAACATTCAGAGAAAGGGCACATCAAGCCCGTTCCGTGGCGTATTCCATCCTTCACTGTGTTATTTCTTCATGAAGTGGATATCCAGATGTTGAAAATTACATCACAAATAAAGCCTTCCAGCGGGGTCAGGGCTCACGACCGAGCGCAAAGCCACAAAACTCCCACGGTTCACGCGGGAACTCTGAACTTTCTGCACTCTAAAATCACTATCAGTGTTTAAGAGTATCCATGGTGATGGAGGCATCAACTGCAATGTTCCCAGGGAGATAGAACGACACCTTTCCCCATTACTGTACGGCTTATTGAGCTTCAATTACTCCTAACACACACAATGAGAAGAGAGAAAGAAATCGAGAAAGAGAATAAGAGAGAGAGAGAGCTTCTAAGGGATGTGAAAGAGATGAAACAGGAGGCAGTGAAAAGGGCTGCTATTAGATGTCACTGGCCTTTTGTGTCTGTGTCAATGAGAGCAGATTAAAGTATTTGAAATAATCTTACTGGGGCATTAACAGAGCTCAGAAGGTAAAAGAAGAAGAAAAGGAGTCAATCAAGACACATACATTTACACATGAAATGAGTTTAGATACAGCCATCCAACGCAAAATAAACACTGAGAAGAAATATGGCTAGCGAACCAGTTTTAATTTCACACGAGTAATTAATTTACCCCAACCCCATTTTCAAAAGCTTTCCGATGAGTCTGGGAACTTGAACAGTGAGCCGATGGTCCCGAGACCGCAGATCTGCTAGGAGTAAGATTTGTTCTTTAAACAATCTAATAAGGCATTGTTAGTTGGCTTTTTTTCTCTGACATTCCTCTGGTTTTGCTGAAGTGGCCTGTTGTGCCGTCTTATGAGAGGAACCTAATTAGGAAATCACTTTCATTACTCTTCCAGAGGAATTAGCACTAGCCTTGCTAATTACTGCTGTAAAACCTAATCAGCTCTTTGAAACAAGACCACACTAATGAGCTCTTATTTATTCAGCTAAATAACTTCAAGGGAAGGAAGAAGCTCAAAATCATATTTTTGATGAATTTGGGAGCGTGTGCGCTCTCGTCTACGCTTGCCGTAATTGATTCTGTTCCATCTTGCGCCTTGTTTGTTGGGAACCCCAGTGTGTGAATGTGGCCAAGAAAATACTGAAAGTTCCAGTAAACTCTTCCATATTTTCCGGTCTCATTTCAAATGACCTATTTTCCCATTTGGAGAGACTCATGACTAAAAGTAAACTGTTACTAATTCCTTTTTTATTAACGGGCAACTAGCAATGCCCTCGCACCTGAGCCTAAAGGGGTTTGTGGTGACCTCGAGCACAGCTGCCGACTTCAGCCAGACCCGAAACACAATCGTTCACACAATCGGATCTGAGGAAGCGTTTCAGACAAACTTTATATAGAAAAACAATCAAGAAGAGTAAGTGATGGGCAGTGTGTATGTGTGAGCATGTGTTGGGTGGAGGTGATGCCACGTGGCGTCGAGGGGCTGCAGCTGTCTTTGAGAGCTGTGAAGCGTTCTAGCCCAGTGGAGCAGAAATGGGCCAGCCTCACAGAGACAGCAGCCAGGTAGAAGCCTCTCTTACTCTCTGACAAACACACACACACACACACACACACCAATGCTGGCAAAGTCGCAGTGATCCTACAGCTGTGTTCATCTGATAGCACAGGCCACTGACTTATTAACACACAGATCAGAACACACCTTTGACACTTAAACACACTTCAATCTGCAGAAACCCATGCTTAGTTTCATTGAACCACGGCACTATCGAGTCAGAAATGAAATAGTCGCGCCCTCAATAATAACGTGACACGGTTGTATGATCTTCTTAAACAAAAAGGGTCGGAGACGAGCTTCGCTGCACATGCTGCTCTCTCCAGAAGTCTTGCACATCTTCACTGCTGATTATTCATACACGCACACTTCAGAGCACACTACATACTCAACAACCCCGACAGGGCCTCAAAACAGCCCAGCTCGATCACTTAACAATTACTCTTTTGCAAACAAATGGTTTCTGGTTCCAGGAAGGCTTTTTTATGCTTGTTGTCAGGTTGTTTTTCCCACTGATGGTGAATTCTTTGAACTGCTGCCTTTGATTTGCAATGTTTTATTCTGAGCAGCAGAGCGTATATAGTAATATAGAGCACCCACAGACATGTGTTCACAAAGCTGTTATAGAGCAACACTTTTGACTTGTTTGAATGCAATATTAATTCATTTACAGCATTATCTCTGCAGTGATTCAGATAAACTAAAATTTTAAACAGGCTGTTATTTCCTTGTACACTACCAATCAAACATTTGGGGTCAGCAACTGTTTTCAAATTTTTAATATATATTTGAATTAAACCTGCAGTCCGTAGCTTTTTTGGGGGTTAAAGGGTTGAGAAAATACATATCCGGCCAGTGTTAAAAACTATCTCGATTCAAAGTGGTAAGCCTGTAATAATGATTTTAATTCTAGTGGTATTGGTGGATTTCCGTGGGAGATTCGAGCATGTCTTTGCGTCATTACTATATTGCGTGTGACACGACAATCACCAGTGACAACAGATTCACCCGCTGTAAAATGCAAAAGACTTTGGCGCCGGACTGCAGCTTTAAACTAAAATGTATTCCTATATTTGGTGAAACATTTCTTATTGAACATAACTGAACAGTTTAATATTTTTCTACATAAATAGAAAAACAAAATACTGAGGCCAAGTTCCCTTACCGCCTTTTGTGTCAAATTAAATATGGAATCTACCAAACTATCCTTTAAGAACTCTATAAATTTCAATGAAACCACTTGCAAAACTTCCACTGGACGTCCTTTCCAGTACGATGATCAGATACATTGCAACACACATACAAACATCCAATAACCAGCTCTTACCTGTCGATGATGACTGGGTCAGAGGGCGTCTCGTTACGGTTGCCACAACTTTTTTTGTCACAGCAGCGACTAATAGAGATGGAGGGGGAGAAAGAGAGAATGAGACCAGTTAATCTTGGTATTACTACACATATGCAAGAACTGAACTCAAACACAGTGGAAAAGGAAGAGGTAGCAAATATAAAGCAGTCTTTCTTTCGCTCTTTCAGGGCAGGCATTCACTACTGTACACACAGCACACAATAGGCTGCTTCTCGGCCAGTGTATTAGTAATTGCAGCTAACAGACTGTCTGGCTCAGAGACGGTGACTGAACGATAAGAAGTGTGACTGATAACTGGACAGTTAAAGAGCGAGGTTACGGGAGGAGAGGCAAAGGTAACGAGGACACTTTAGCATATATCCTGGAAGGATTTCATAAAGACAGAAGGGGCAAGTGTTGCTAACATGTTCCCAAATCTAAATAGATTTATGATTTAGAATAAATTTATATTTTACATGTTACATAGTAGTATTTTATTTGATATTTTACATAATTAGGAAAAAGTATAGAAATGTGTGTGCGCATGTGCTAAATTGTATTCCAGCAGCAGAGAAATAGATGTATCTTAGAGCATAAGCAAGTGAAAGAAGACAGGAGGGATGGAAAAGGGGTGTTTGCATGGTGTCTTCGGCGGATGGAGGCTGTGGTGGTAAACAGCAGGTGGGGCGGTGAGTTCAGGTTTCCCTGCACAGATGGCAGAGGGGATTGAATGAGAAAAAGTATAGTGCATGAGACATCATGTGATAGGAGCAGAACAGATCGGTGTGTGAGTTGGCTCCTTTAGACCTGATGAGCTTGATAAAGTGGATTGAGCTTGACCCCTCATTCACACATGCTGGCGGTCTAAGGAGTGTAGTTAGTTTGGACAAAGTGTGGTGCTTCCGTCTCAGTTTACTGTTGTATTTTTACCTTCCTTCCTCTCTCTGCTCTCATTTTCTCTCACTCCTCTGAGAGCAGACAAGTCTTTAGCAATGTTCTCTCAGAAGTGGGTCACACAGAAGCAAGGCTTTCTGGGATGTGAGAGGCAGGCACAGAGGGATGTGACACTCCGATAACCCAACAGCCAGCCAGAACCCATAGGAAACCACAACAAGGCCCCCCACCACCATAGGTGAACCGCCAAGCCAGGATTTTTCGCCCATTCTGGCTCATTTTGCTCCGTCCCAGCGGACCTTCAGGGGAACCATAATCTTTAATCTCAAGCGATTCCTCCTGCTGCAGCATTTGAAGAAATTAAATCCAAATTGCTGCACATAATTACCAGGATGTGGCCCTTGCTGATGCCATTAAAGCTGAACTGCCCTTAGTCCAGCGGCTTTAAAATAGCCCCCAAAACCAAACAAAGCAGCGTTTCTCTAACTGTGACCACCCAGCCTTTAATAATCTGGCCAAGTTTGGGATGTTTCATCTACACCACACAAACCAAACTAAATCTCATCAATCAGTGTGTATGGGGAAGTGGAACTCAATCATAAGGAGCCCAGAGTTGTGTTTGAGCGATTGTCTCTAGCCTGTCTCTAGTCTCTAGCCTGTCTGTGAGCGAGTTGTTTGGGAAAACGTGTTTGCGTATCACGCTTGCAGGCCCATGTGGCACCATATGGCTAATGGCAAGGCGTACAGCAATTAACAGCCCTGATTAATGGAGAGCAGTCTAATTGCAGACTGGTAATTGTGCCTTTCTCTCAGCGCAGGCCCTGTATCGAAACACTATATACAGATGAAGAAGGGGGACAAGGAGAAAGATAGAGACGAGATGTAGTTGTTTACTCATTTGAAATAGACACTTTGTCCTTTTCTGCTGCTTTTACAAAGCTTTTTGGTCTGCAACCAAGTACAGACATTTGCATTGACGGGACCTTTTGGGTTCCAGTGGCGATATGTACTTCAGATGTGATCGGTGTAATCCTACAGTGGCAGATCAAAGCTGACATGGTGAGCCTTTGTAGGCACGTATGATACTAAATGTTTGTGTCAATACACATCTTTAAATCAGCAAGTATTTTGAAAGAGCGATAACAGAAGGTTGTGTGTGCGCTTGTGTGCGTGTGTGTGGGGGGGTGAGAGAGAGAGAGGTAGTGAGGGGGAGTGAAAGATTGAAAGAGAAAGAGGAGAGAGCCTTGGCTCGCCTGCACATATTTCATTGTCAAAACTCAAAGCAAGCTGCATTCATTAGCTGTGGAATAACAAGAGGATTCTTATTGAGTAATGAGTTTTTCCTTGTCCTAATTAAGCAAGCATGAGTGTTATATTTTTAGTAGAAAACTGTTCAAATGCTCTCCATTTCAACCAAAAATGGATGAGGACTCATCTCCACAACCCAGTTTTAAGTGCAAGGAATTTATCTTTTGATTTTAATTAAAGGTGCATGGCTTTCTCTCGCTCTCTCTCTCTTTTTACTTTCAGAGATAGAAGTGGATGACCTGGATAGAGACTCAAGAAGGCAGAGCTCTGAACTTAAGGTCTGTCTTCCTCCATTTCTCATGCCATGAAACTTCATTTTTTTATACGATCACAACAAACAGGGATGTGCAAAATTCAGAACTGAAAATTCGGCTCCCTTTAGATTTATGAATGTATCTATCATTTAGCTGTCAAAATCAATTAATCGCATCTAACATAAAAGTTTGTGTTTATATAATGTGTGCGCACGCACGCACACTTATATATAATGACCGTAATCGCGATTATTTGATTTGACAGCACAATCTATACATTTAATCCTTCAAACTTCAAGGCCTTTTACAAAACTTTCAAATTTGTCTTGACAAAACTTTTTAGTTAAAATGACTTCCTAGTTATTAAAATAGCAATTCTGCTTCCTGTTTGCTGATTCAATTCAAATTCAGGAATTTCAATTCTGAATGGTGACAACTATATCACTAAAATGTGCCGTCCAAAAGTGTATTACTCTACTTGGCTTTTGAGTGTTTATTTAAACAATAATTAAAATAAGAGCCACCAACTACCGATAAATGTGGCTCCAAAAATAGAAATAGCTTTGATTTCTAATGTTGAGCCAGAGTCTGGGAAAAGAACAGTTCTAACTCTGATAGGAAACAGGCTGGATATAAACGTTCTGCATCCCTCTTAAACATAAGTAAACTGTTTATTCTAGTTTTGACGGACGTTTTTGATAAATTAAAGAATAAAGATCTGACCTTTCAGCAAATTTATAATAATGTTAATCTATCCTCCATCTTATGTCTAATTTTACAGCAAGGCTTACACACAGCTGTGTGTGTGTGTGTGTGTGTGAGCAGAAAGCTCAGCCCTGTCACACTAATGCTAGATCCAGAGGTCTGCAGCCTTGCCAAGCAAGAATGAAGCCAAAGTAAAGCTCTCACAGTCAGCGGGCAGAGCTTGGTAGGGAAGATTCAAGAGCTTGATTGTGTAATAGTGAAGGAGGGAATGTGGTGTATTGCATGTGTGTGCGTTTCTCACCTGCACATGATCTCGTGCGTTAGCAGCACCCGGCACATCTCTGGGTTTTTGTCTTGCCCTTCATAGATAATTGCCTGATGGACAAGAGAAGGTGGAAAAAATGTGGTTAGAGAAAATTGACAAACAACATTTCCTCCTTGTGGTATAAACGCTCGGAGCGTGCACAAAAATTTCCATGACTAACTCTAAGGGTCTTTTAAATTCTACCATGAAAAGAATCAGATATCTGGTTGTATGGTTTCACTGAAACAAAAAACATTATGACATCACATCATTTGTCAATAGACACACTGCAGAGCTTATATACGGTGAATGTGACCCTTCGTCCATCTGGCAGAGGCTGTCGTTGAAAGATCTCATGCAGCATGGGAATGATCAGTTCAGTTTTTGTTTCTTTGTTTCCAAATGTTTTGTTCATTTGGTCCCCTGTTTCTCACTCTACAAACTGGGTGCTGAATTTCATTCATGTCATTTTGTTTCTGCAAATCAATCAATAAAAATCACCTAGTGCACTGTGGGACGGCTTGAACAGAGCCTTCGTGTGCGGTGTGGTCTGTCTCTGGCTGAGGCAGGCTTAAAGTGGGCAATTTAATGCCCACTTACCTGCTGCAATGGAAAACGATCCTCAACCACCTCTCTAAACTTGGTGCGTCATGTTCGGTTGTGAGAATCAATGGTGTTTGATGTCATTGACTTCAAACATGGAGACATCCATAGTTTGAATATGAAAATTTTCAAATCAATGAATAATAACTTAATTCTCTGTTAATAAAAAAAGCTATTGCTTAAGTCAAATGGATTACTTCTATGGTACTTTTTGGAGCTATATGGGAAAAATCAGCATGATCATTCTGCCATCTCTATGTGTGTTCCACAGAAGAAAGTAAGTCATACGAGTTAGGAGCCGCAAAATGGTGAGTATATGATGTCAGCGTTTATGTTTGGACGAACTTTTCCTTTAACGCCAAATCTATAACCTCACTGTCAGTGCAGATAACTGACAACTGATTTCATCTTCTTTTGTTTCTGATTAGACACCAATGAACAACACCATGTTCATAGAAGAATGTCCTTTAAATTACAATTCAAATACTAAATCAGACGTCCAATGGAATTATTAGGCCGAATAACACCACATAATGTAAGAGTAAAACTTTATGCAAAATAAGATTTTGCCAGATGAAAAGTTTATTCTATGTATCATCTTTTTACTACTTCAATTCATTTTACTCTAATTCATTTTATAACTGTATCATTTATCTCCTTTATTCCTTGCATAACTGTTTTAAATTCCCTCGCTTTTATTTTGAGCTTATTTTCTATGCAAAGCACTTTAAACTGCCATAGTGTGATATTTAAATTCCTTTAAAGCATTTTGAATAACACTTTTAAATTAAATGTATTTGTACTCCTTTCTATGTAAATCACTTTGAATTGCCATAGTGTATGAAATGTGCTATATAAATAAACTTCCCTTGCCTTAAATCTTAAGGAAATTTGAATTGAATTAGAAAAAAAAGATGCAGAATTGCGATTCAAATTTGAATGCAAGAACATAACTGTCATTTAACTTAAAAGCAAAGTTTGTCAACACAAACTCTGAATTTTTTTGAAATTTTGGGGGAAAAAGCTGATGAATTGATCGATAGACAGACTTTTGTGAAAGAACGCTTAATTTCCCAGAATTTCAACTTCCGTGGGTGTGGCCAATTAAATTCTGAATTGCTCCCATGAATTGAAAGGAGGCCAATTCTTCAATTTAGAATTTTGCACAATCCTGCATTGTTTTCTCTTGGCATCATTCAGTTTCATCATGTGTTGCTCTTTGGTTTAATTAAAAGCAGATGTAGGGAACCAAAAAAACTATGTGCGTAGTGTTTGTTGGACTGTGCAGATTACTGTCCTCTTATGTCATAGAGGACCACCCTTGCCACAATGCCCACCCTCCACAGGCATCTGGATAAACATACAAAGCAAAACCTTATTGTTCAGCAAAGCACAATTATTATTACTACATGAGAAAAGACATTTGCGACGTGAAAAGAGATAAAGAAAGGTGATCCGATAAACTGCATAATTACAGGTCCCTCTAAATAAGTGTCGTACTCCAGCTAGTGTGAAATAGCCCTCTTGGAAAGATGTGAGTGCGTGAGCTCCCATAAGCCTGCATCTGTGAGACTCTGTGTGCATGCGTATGCATTCACGCATGTATTTGTGCATTAGCATGTGTGTGTTTATGCGTGCGGCAAGCAGTTGGGCTGCCAGACTGGAGCATAGCGAGCCATCTGGCCCAGCTAACACTTCATCCAAAAACCTCAGCTTTGTTTCCATCCTTCAATTCCACACAAGATGTCCCCCACAGCCGTGAATCAGTGACTCTACTCAAAACATACACACACTGCAGACTATTAACAGGCTGCTCTCTGTCTCTCACACACATTTAAACCCGTTTGCCATGAATCACTCTCTCTGAACACACATATACATGCCACTTATGGCAACCGAAGACACAGAATAACAGCTGATGGTTCTAATGAGGAACTGTTTCCCTCACAAGTGCACAATGCTTTTTCAATTAAATGAAACACTTGTTTGAAAACAAGTTTTATAAGTAAAGCATCGATCCAGAAAAGAAAGTTCATTCATATTTGGGAACACATTGCTGTAATATTAAAGGTTCAAATTACAAATTTTTAAAAAATAATGACATAAGAGTAATTTAATAAGAGTAAAAATATGGATATGAATTCTAGCTATATCGAGTTTATTGTCTCTAGAGTTCATTTTTCTGATTGTGGAGTTTATGGTAATTAAATGGTTTTCCTGAGTTAACGTTAAATATAAAGATAAGATATATTTGTTACAGGCAAGCTGTTTTATTGACTTCTTTCTGCAGTTAAAACATTGATTGTGCGATCACATAAGACATGATGTTGTAGATTCTTCCAACATACCTTCTGCCGTTAATTTGTGTTAATTTCGTGCTATAACTAACTAGTAACGTTACAGTAACGTTAGTTAAGAGGAAGAGATGGTCGGTTCACGTGCCGCTTGAACCGAAACGCTTCAGCAATCTCACGACACATTAAAAAGCGGCAAAACCACATTCATTGTGTGAGTGTCGTAGTAAAATTGACAAAGTTTAAACGCTGAGACTTTCTGTCTGTCGGTGCGTTGTTAGTTTTATGGTGTGTTCATGTGCTATGGTAATTATGGTAAATACCAAAAGCCGACGTGGAAAATGCACATGAACACCCCCTCATGTGGCATTTTTCACTGGGCAACTCATACAATATTTTGATGCTCGAGTTGCCAAGATGAGATAACCTTTGACCTTTTCAAAATGGCAGAGAGCACCGCGAGAGTCGTGAATGGTAAAAATATATACTATTCATGATCTAAAAAATATACAGCATTTGATTTACCTTTTGAGTTTTAATAAATCATTTTCTTGCTGTTGCAGATGACTTAAGTAATCTAAAATAGTTTTAGCTAAATAACAGGTCTGGATCTCCATCTTTTTACCACATTACGATAACAAAAAGCACCTGAACGCAACACACTGGTAAATACCAATTCACAAGTGGAAAATATCCTATTTTCCATAGCACGTGAACGCACCATCAGCCTGGCTAACGCCAGACCACATATCATTGAGAATGAAACATGCTCTGGGAACCACATGTAAATTTTCTCGTATATGAGGCATGGTTTACGAATGCCCAGAGCCGTATTATTGGGTGCTACGAATGTTTATCAAATGCGTCTGTACGTCTATCAAATGCGCCTGTGCTCCCTCCCCGTTCTGTGATTGGTTCAGGGGAAAATTTGGTTCATGGTATCCAGACTGCCTAGCAGCGCGAATAAAATTGCGCTGCGGCAATGCAGAATGGGGAAACCCAGGCTTTGTCAGTGTCCTCTTTGCTCTACGATGTTTAACTGCATGAGAAAATGGACGTGTGGCGTGAGAACAGTGTTGACGTGAGTCTCTGAATGCGTGAGAGTTGGCAATGGCAG